ATCCCACCCCTACTGGGGATATACCCAAAGGGGATTTATAAATCATGCCTGCTATAAAGACACATTGGCACACGTATATGTTTATTGCAGCACTTATTCACAATAAGCAAAGACTGGAATCACCCAAAATGTCCCATCAGTGACAGGACTGGATTAAGAAAATGTGGCACATATACACCATGGAATACTATGCAGCCATAAAAAAGGGATGAGTTTGTGTCCTTTGTAGGGACATAGATGCAGCTGAGAACCGTCATTCTCAGGCAAAACTATTGCAAGAACAGAAAACCAAACACTGCATGTTCTCTCCACTCATAGTTGGGAACTGAACAATGGAGATCACCTGGACTCGGGGAAGGGGGAACATCACACACTGGGGCCTATCATGGGGGAGAGAGGAGAGGGGAGGGATTGCATTGGGAGTTATTACCTGGTGTAAATGACGAGTTGCAATGGGTGCTGATGAGTGAATGGGTGCAGCACACCAACATGGCCAAGTATACATATGTAACAAACCTGTACATTTATGCACATGTAACCCTAGAACTAAAGTATAATAATAATATAAATAAATTAAAATAAATATAAATAAATAAATAAATAAATAAATAAATAATTATGGATTCTGATTTAAGATTCAGCAGGAGATTTGAGAAAGATATTTTAGTATTAGCTCTCATATTAAGCAGAAGTGAATTTTTGGGCAAATATCTTTTTATCTCTCGATTTAGGTTTCATAAAATAAAGCATGCTATTAGATTTTCATACTACTCAGAGGAGGAGACTTTAAAGAACTTCTGCTTGAAATTTACCACTTCTAAAATATATGTGTATGTTCATGTCAGAGAAGATAGTTTTAGCAGTGAAATGTCATAATGAGTGAATTACGCATCACTGAAGCTTCATTACTTTCCTTCTAAGAATCCACATAGTGGGTAAGCCTTGGTGTGGAAGTGCATCAGGTGAGGTTTTGGACTCTACTGTTGCTCCTAATTCTGGGAGTAGAGGATCCACAGACTAGATGTTCCTCAAGGACAAACGCTTCATTTCATTTACTTTTGCTGTCAGAGCCTAGCAGAACCTATGGTGTCTGAGGCATGTATAGGTTCTCTCTAATTGTTGAATGCATTACTACATGAGTTAGTTCTGAGACCTAAAATTTTGTGATCCCATAAATAGCAAATTCAGAAGAAAAATTACTGAAAATGACATCTTTACATTTTCTTAACTCAACAACTTTTTATCTGCAATAAATTGGTGAAATTTCTAGACTGTGCTCTCAATTCTTTCTGGGTTGTTTTTCTACTCTTCATCGACACTTGAAATCTATAAAACTAATTTCTGATTCTTGCAAGAAATTGCTTCCCTTTTGGTTCCTGACAGTCTTCGTGTAATCGGTTTTCTCATCCATTGTCATTCCTACCTTGGCAACTTTGACTGCAGACCCATAGCCAGTCGAAAATCCACAGCCAATGAGGCAGACTTTCTCCAGGGGTGAAGCTGCATCAATTTTGGCCACTGCATTCTCATCCACCACCGTGTACTGGGAGAAGGTGCTGATGCCGAGGAAGTGGTGGATGGGCTTCCCCCTGCAGGTGAATCTCCTGGTGCCATCCTGCATGGTCCCCCGAGGATTGCTCAGACTGGGTAGTGCAATACACAGACACACAAAGGCATGAGACAGGAGCATAACTAATTTGCAAACTCAAAGTCTGTGCAAAGAAAGCATCAGAAACTCACTCATTTTTGAAGCAGTAGTTGCTTTCTGGGTTTTTACAAACTCTGCATTTTCCACACTGAGGAGTAAAGAGTGGGATGACTTTATCACCTGGAGAGGAATAAAACAAATTCTTCTTAAATTTCTATGGAGGAAATAATACAGCAAAACCTTAAAGCTCACATGTATAGATTAGAATCATGTGTCTGAATAGTTTCTAAGAAATAGGGTGTCATTCCCACAACTATGTCATTTGTAATTGCCTGCCAAGGCCTTGTTTTTTAGTCGGGTTTATAAGTGCCTGAAGAATCCTAAAGAGAAAATGCAAGTGTCGGAAACAAGATGGATTAACAAAATTCCATCCAACGTATTAATAAACTTTTATGCAGTGCACTAATTTCTCCTGGAGGCTTTTCAAATGTAATTTATGTAATCCTTGTCTAATTAAATCTTAATTAAATATTCTTATTATAATTATATATATAAATTTTAGTTGAAAGTCATCTATTTTAGTCCCAGTACATGTTGGGAAGATCTGGTATTTTGTAAGAGTTTGATTTACAACAAAAATGAGATTTTTAAATTAGGTCTTGGCTTTTCAAAGTGACTAGGTTTATGTTTCTTATAAAATGAATGTTTTTTAAAAATCTTAGTTTTTTTTTTGGAAGAAAACCAACCAAAATGGGACAAAGAAGAATTACAGAAATTCGTCTGAAAATTTCAACCCTCCACAATAAGTTAGGCACTTTCTTTTTTTTTTTTTTTTAATTTATTTATTATTATTATACTTTAAGTTGTAGGGTACATGTGCATAACGTGCAGGTTTGTTACATATGTATACTTGTGCCATGTTGGGGTGCTGCACCCAGGTATAACTCCCAATGCAATCCCTGCCCCCTCCCCCCTCCCCATGATAGGCCCCGGTGTGTGATTTTCCCCTTCCTGAGTCCAAGTGATCTCATTGATCAGTTCCCACCTATGAGTGAGAACATGCGGTGTTTGGTTTTCTGTTCTTGTGATAAGTTAGGCACTCTCTTTTAGGATAAGAATTGACTTCCAAATGTTTTTAGCTGATAATTTGTGAATTATCCTTTTTTACTCTTATGGTGTGGGGAGGAGGGGTAAGAAATAGGAGTCATTTTGTTATTAATCTATTTCTGAGTAAAGGAAATAGTAAGAGCTAAAACTCAAATTGGACAGTTTATTTTATTATTTTCTGTTCACAGTCTAAATTAGTATTTGGTAAGGGGACAGGTCTCATCTACTGGCTAAAGTGATTCTTTAAAGATAATTTTTATTTGTAATCACCTATGCTATCTTTTTCACAAGACCAAGAAAAATGATTCGTGCATAATATTTCATGGGTAAAGTTTATACGAAAATGATGGTATGGAAATGTTCTACTTATTCATCCTTTACCTCTGAAATATTTATATTAATACGTAAGATTACGGTAAAATAAGTATTGAAGATAAAATAATTAGTAATCTATAACCAGTCACATTTAAGCATGGCTGAAGGTAATAAGGCAGACATTGTTGATGGTGGATGGCTCCTACTATGTTTCTTTGATTTCCTTTCAGCTAGTCGGTTTCATTGATTCCATGCTCAGGAAGAGAGACCACGTTGGAAGAGGAAATTGGTGAAGGGGCTACATAGGTCACCTAAGAAAAGGTCATATTTATTCAGCTGCAGCCATGTAGCCTCCATTTGGTGAACTCAGCACAGAGCAATGTCCATACTTATGTTTCTTTCCCTCCTCCCATTTCTAGTTTTTTGGGCCCTTACAGAAGACAGTATTCAGCAACACTAACACGGAAGTTACTAGATTATGAATTCCACATTGGTAGGCACTGTCTCTTTTGATCCTCATATATCTCCAGGCTCTAACCTAGTGACTGGCATCTAGTAGATAGTCAGTACACAATAGTTGAAGGTTAGAATACATGCATGCCTGAAGTCATACCTGCTTGAGTCAGGCAAGCAGAGAGGGAAGGAGGAAACTCCTGAAGTCCCGGCTGCCCTGTGACCTTGTGTAAGCCCTTTTGTCTTTCATTGCCTCGGTTTCCTCATCCAGGCTGACTAATCTTGTGATGGTGAACCAAGGCATGTTCCCTGAGTGTGAATCCTGTACCTGGTTTGACTGTAGTCACCCCTTCTCCAACACTCTCCACGATGCCAGCTGCCTCGTGGCCTAAAATCGCAGGAAGAGGGGTCACTAGGGTACCACTAACCACGTGGTCATCTGATCGACAGATTCCTACGGCCACCATCTACAGAATAAAGAGAAGATGTTTAGATTTGGAAAAGATTATGACTGTCAGATGGACTTAACAAACCCAATTTTCTAAAATTATTATTCTAAAATATTTTCAAGGGTTTTACTGATAATCCCTACTATTCCCAAATATGAAAGATTCAGTTTATCTCCAAGATTATCCAGCCTAAAACCTTCCTCTATCTTTCTCCCTTGAATTTAACAATTTAGAATAATCTGTGAAATAATTGATCCTAAAATATTTGTCTTGTATAATATAGAAGAATGCATAGTTAAAAGAAAAAGAAGTAGAAATTGCAAATTAACACCAAGAAAATATCTAACACAAATTGATTGTGAAGTCTTGATATATATCCCTTTGCATTTTTTTCTTTACAAACCTATAATTTTTTTTGTATTTTACTGGAATTATACTTCATATACTGTTTGCTCACTTTAAAAAAATTTAACAATTTATATTTCTACTTTCCTTGACAACAAATGTAATTTTATTTTCTGGATAATTATAAAAAAAAAATCTCTTAGTGGATCTTGGATGTTTCTATTTTTAATATTTTCTGAATTTTTTAAACTTAAAATTAAATACAAATGGAAAAAATATTTCACCTTAATGCGAACTTCATGAGCCTTAGGAGGTGCAACCTCCACCTCCTCAATGGAAAAGGGTTTCTTTACCTCCCATAGCACAGCTGCTTTGCATTTGATTACCTAGAAAATCAAACAGAGAGATGGTGCCAGTGTTTTCCCACTCTTGAAGTCAGAAATTGTGTCTTTTCATCTTTGTACATGCAACATTGAGTCCCATGTCTGGCACCTAATAAGTGTTACATAGAAATGAAGTTCTCTGGTTTATAAAGAGAGTAAGAGTATCTTTTTAAAAAGCAATAACATAAGGAAAGAAAAACAGTTAAGTACAATAAGGCACTTAGATAAAATGGAATATCTTCATTTAGGCTATTCTTTTTTTTTTTCTCCAAAGATGTTTAATCCTGATTATTTTCTAATACTGTCCTGAAAACACCTGTTTACCCACAACTATTGGCTGGTACATGTTCTAAGTCACCTTTACTTTGCTGACAGAGTCAGTGTCTGTCTAAAATACACTGCTTTCTTCCTCAATTTTCTGCTTAGGCCAAAAGGATCTGACTCCATAAGAACAGTTATACATTTACCTTCCTGCTTAGGATGATGTCTCTTTCTCTTTCTATTTGCCTATTGCCCTCTTTTAATTTTCTCTCTCCACTTCTGTATGTAACTTGTCTCAAACATCCATTTGAAACTTAGCTTTAGCAGCCTGTTTTGTCATCTAATTTATGTGCAGAGACTCCTTGCAGCTTAGATTTGAGCCCAAAATTACAGAGGTTAGAGTTGGTGGTGTGTGTGTGTGTGTGCATTCAGACCACACATATATATTTAAAAACTGGAGAAACTTGTGTATTTGAGTTTCTAGCTAGCAAGCTTATCCACAGATGTCCTTAAAAATAAAAGCTGATCACATATTTCCAGTGCTTAGCAGTGTACTGTAAAACTCATCTTTGTTGTGGTAAAGCATGTACAATTCACAAATCTCTTTCTATATAGAATCAACATAATTGCAAATATAATAAAAATTGAAATATCATCTTCTGCCAATTCATTTTTGTTATTAATTTGTCAAATCCTTCAACTTTGCAGGATTTTCAATGTGGTCCATGCCAAAATAAATATCAGAATACTTGGAAATAAAGTTCTAATAGTAGGAGTCCCTGATTGTCAGGTGCCTGTGATGTGACAGGTGCATTGTGGCTTGTGCTGAGTGAGTTACATGCATTATTTTTATTTTAAAAATTTATTTATTTTTAATTTCCATAGTTTTTGGTGTGCAGGTGGTTTTTGATTACATAGATAAGTTCTTTAGTGGTGATTTCTGAGATTTGCTGCACCTGTCACCCGAGCAGTGTACACTGTACCCAATGTGTAGTTTTTTATCCCTAACCAAAGTCCACTATATCATTCTTATGCCTTTGCTTCCTCATAGCTTAGCTCCCACTTATAAGTGAGACCATATGGTACTTGGTTTTCCATTCCTGAGTTACTTCACTTAAAATAATGGTCTCCAGCTTCATCCAAGTGGCTGCAAAGGCCATTATTTTGTTCCATTTTATGGCTGAGTAGTATCTCCTGGTGTACACATATCACATTCTCTTTATACACTCGTTAGTTGATGGGCATTTAGGATGGTTCTATATTTTTGCAATTGCAAATTGTGCTGTTACAAACAACGTGTATTACTTTTAAACCTAAAAAGGATGCTACCAGGACAGTACTATTGAATTATTGGTCTTACTACATCTGAAATAATTGAGGATCAACTGACTCAATGATTGAATAATTTTCCTAAAGTCTCAAAGCTGGTTGTCCAGAGAATAAAGATCAGGCTGGGCACGGTTGCTCACGCCTTTAATCCCAGCACTTTGGCAGGCCGAGGTGGGTGGATCACCTGAAGTCAGGAGTTGGAGACCAGACTGACCAACATGGTGAAACCCCGTCTCTACTAAAAATGCTAAAATTAGCCAAGCATGGTGGCGTGCGCCTGTAGTCCCAGCTACTTGGGAGGCTGAGGCAGGAGAAATCACTTGAACCCGGGAGGCAGAGGTTGCAATGAGCTGAGATCACCCCACTGCACTCCAGCCTGGGCAATAGAAAGATACTCCGTCTCCAAACAAACAAACAAAAAAATTAATCTAGCCTCACATTTTCAGTACTCCGTGATAGTAAATATCAAAAAGTTAAATAGCAACAATAATAATAGTGGCTAATATTTATTGACTTATTTTTATTTACCAGGTACTATTCTAAGTGTTTTTCACTATTAATTTATTGAATTCTCAGAAGTACCTTATGAAATAGACATTAGTACTGTCACAATTTAGGATCTGAAGAAAATAAAATGCGGGACACATAAACATAAATGCAATGCTGTCAAAAAGCTAAGTTATTGATGTTGCACTCAAGAGGGGAGGATTATCTATTTCATCAGTTATAATTTTCATTAATATGATTGGTTTATACTTTTGCTCTATGAACTCATTATTTCTTTTAAGTCGAGTTTGGTAAATGGTAAATTCAAATTTTCTTTTCTCTAATTATTTTCTATGAGGAATGTAAATATTAATCAATAATGAATGAAAATAAAGCAAAGTGAAGTGGTGTAAGAACAGCACCAATGGGCCACTCATGTGATTTCCAACCAGTCTTATTGATATGAGCCTGTTTTGTCGCACAGCATAGAGATAAGCCTCAGAACCTTTAAACTGAATTATCATAGTGAGATATTTTACTGTGTGATGCACTCTTAACACAACAAACGACTGAAAATAGTCACACGGATTTTTTTTATTAGGCAATTAAAAATACCAGTTGATTATATTGAATGATGACATGCATTTCTGTGCACCTGTAAACACATTGAAAAAATAAATATAAATTTATAGAAGAAAAAACCAAATATTTGTGTTCTGAGTGCTAATAAGTGATTCAAATTGTATTATTATTTTTCTGTAAGATCATATTGACTTTTATATAGGGGAGACACTGTTCTATAAGATTTCTGTGGAAATTGCCTGAATTGTGTCATAATGGGCCCCCTTTAAATGGAATTTGCATGTGATGTCTTGCTTAACCTTGATGATTCTAATGCTGTGAGATCAATGAGTATTTTGTAAGATATTTTATAGTAAGGTTAAAAGGATATTTCAAAATTTTCTGAATCAAATTCCTCTCATAAAAGTTATGTCAGACTTAACTTTCTTGTGTTCACAAAAAATATGAATACAAATAATAACACATTTAAATTATGGTTTCTTAATATAAAGATAACTTCTGATTAAAGACTTTTCTAACTTTAGATTTACAAATCAGTCATGATTAGCTTGGAATAAACTATCACTTTACTGCAAATTTATTTAATGTAGGAAATAAAGACTTAATAGATACAGATTCTATATATTCTTTTTGAAGGTGTTTAGGAATAGCTTATTTCCACTGTAGTTCAGTATACATTATATATTATAGCATACATTGCATATCATATTTCAGTGTATCATTTCTAATTTAGATATGAATTTTAAATTATTCATCAGATACTGTATTCCTTTATTTGTTATATTAAAGAGAATATATTACCAACAGTAATATATTTTTTGCTTACTTTTCCTGCAGTGCTCATGTTGATTCTGTCTTCTTTGCAGAACAGGAGACTGGTGAGTACTTGTGGATCTCTTCTCTGCTTGAGTGCACAAAGCAGGTATATTGTGCAAGTATTTATTTTGTTTGCTCGTATAACACCCAATTCCAACACCACACGTGATCTAGGTTTTTAAGCCGCACCCATCATATTCTTCTCAGACTATCAAATCATAAAGAAATGGGCACTGAATCAGCACTCAAAACCCTGACCTTTCCAATTTCAGATAAGATTTGGCTTTCACTCAGTTAAATATTAAGTTAAAATGATAAATTTGAATTACTTTCTCTCTTCCTTACTCTCTTCCTGCTCAAATTCCTGCTTCTCTTCTCTCAAACTCACAGGGGTCATTCAGAGAACTGTTTTCCCTTTGGGCTCATTCAGAGTTCTGTTTTCCCTTTGTCTGCACTAAGCTGCAATTTTGAATCCACATGGTGCAGTTAGGAAGAGGAGGAGTAGGGAAACAGGATAAACGAAGGGGAACATAGAGAGCTAGGAGCCAGAGGAATGTGTTTCATACAACACTCTCCTTCTCTTTACAGCAGAAAATCAGGACACCCCATCAGTCACAGCAAAGGGACTCACTGGGCCTTGCATTTCTACTCCACTCAATAACAATCAGCATTGATTGAGCATCTCCCCGTGTCAGACATTAAGCTGGGTTTGGTGGGGTGGCAGTGATGAATAAGACACGACTTTTACCTCTGCTGACAGGCAGTATAGGGAAGTGGTTATGACATAGCCTTTGGGATTAGGCAGACTATTCCTTACTAGCTCTGTATACTTGGACTTATTAGTTGACTGTTCTTTGCCTTAGTTTCCTTGTCTTTAAGGTGAGAATGAATAGTAGTGTGTCCAGAATGGGTTCCTTCTGGTGGGTTCTTGGTCTCGCTGATTTCAAGAAGGAAGGTGCAGACCCTCCCAGAGTGTTGCAGTTCTTAAAGATGGTGTGTCCGGAGTTTGTTCCTTCAGATGTTCAGATGTGTCCAGAGTTTATTCCTTCTGGTGGGTTCGTGGTCTCACTAACTTCAGGAGTGAAGCCACGGACCTTCGCAGTGAGTGTTATAGCTCTTAAAGGTGGCGCATCCAGAGTTGTTTGTTCCTCCTGGTGGGTTCATGGTCTCACTGGCTTCAGGAGTGAAGCTGCAGACCTTTGCAGTGAGTGTTACAGCTCATAAAGGTAGTGCGGACCCAAAGAGTGAGCAGCAGCAAGATTTATTGTGAGGAACAAACCAACAAAGCCTCCACAGCAAGGTAAGGGGAGGCCAGTGGGTTGCTGTTGCTGGCTCCGGTGGCCCGCTTTTATTCCCTTATTTGGCCCCACCCACCTCCTGCTGATTGTTCCATTTTACAGAGTGCTGATTGGTCCATTTTTACAGAGTGCTGATTGGTGCGTTTATAAAATTTTAGCTAGACACAGAACACTGATTGGTGTATTTACAATCCTTTAACTAGACAGAAAAGTTCTCCAAGTCACCACCTGACCCAGAAGCCCAGCTGGCTTCACCTCTCAATAGACAGAAACTCAAGGAGAGAGAGAAAGAGACAGAGACAAAAAGGGAGTCAGAAAGAGAGAAAGAGAGAGACAGAGAGAGGAAGGGAGAGACAAAGAAGGAGGAAGGGAGAGACAAAAAGGAGTCAGAGAGAAAGAAAGAAAGAGACAAAGTCAAAGAGAGGGAGGAAGAGACAGACAAAAAGGGAGTCAGAAAGAGAGAGATAAAGAAGAAGTCAAAGAGAAAGAGAGATAGAAGTAGTAAAGAAAAATCAGTGTACCCTATTCCTTTAAAAGCCAGGGTAAATTTAAAACCTATAATTGATAATTGAAGGTCTTCTCTGTAACCCTATAACACTCCAATACCACCTTGTTGTCAGTGTAAACAAGGGTGTACCCTGAAAGCACTGAGGCCACTGACAACCCGTAGCCTTCCTATCAAAAATCTTTAACCCAACAGGTTTCCTAACAGGGGATCTAAATCTTAATTAATTACCATACAAAGGTCTGACCAGATCTAGGAGGAACTCCCTTCAGGACAGGATGATAGATGGTTCCTCGCAGGCGATTAAGGGAAAAAGACACAATGGGTATCAAACTTGCGAGTTGTTTGTGCTCAGCCAAACCTTAAAGTACTTACAGTATCAGGAAGGAGGCTTCTATACCAATTCTAAGTTAATATGGACTGCATGAGGTCTTATTAATAGCAAAGAATAATTGAAATCCCAAGCTTACAAATTTTTCAACAAAAGTAAAGTTTGCTAAAAGTCAACAGTGTAACATGTATTATCCTACTACCACACACTCCCAAAGGATTTCTCAGACAGTTTACAAGAAAGAACAAAATCTATCCTTACTCTACAATCCCAAATAGACTCTGTGGCAGCAGTGACTCTCAAAAACCACCAAGGCTTAGACCTCCTCACTGCTGAGAAAGGAGGACTCCACCTTCTTCGGTGAAGAGTGTTGTTTTTATACTAACCAATCAGGGATAGTACGAGATATCTCCCAGCATTTACAGGAAAAGGTTTCTGAAATCAGATATTGCCTTTCAAACTCTTATACCAACCTCTGGAGTTGGGCAACATGACTTCTCCCCTTTCTAGTTCCCATGGCAGCCATCTTGCTATTGCTCACCTTCAGGCCCTGTATTTTTAACCTCCTTGTCAAATTTGTTTCCTCTAGAATCGAGGCCACCAAGCTACAGATGGTCTTACAAATGGAACCCCAAATGAGCTCAACTAACAACTTCTACTGAGGACTCCTGGACCAACCCGCTGGCCCTTTCACTGGCCTAAAGAGTTCCACTCTGGAGGACACTACAACTTCAGGGCCCCTTCTTAGCCCCTATCCAGCAGGAAGTAGCTAGAGCGGTCATCACCCAATTCCCAGCAGCAGTTGGGGTATCATCTTTAGTGGGGGATTGAGAGGTGAAGCCAGCTGGGCTTCTGGGTCAGTTGGGGACTTGGAGAACTTTTCTGTCTAGCTAAAGGATTGTGAACACACCAATCAGCACTCTGTGTCTAGCTAAAGCTTTGTAAACGCACCAATCAGCGCTCTGTAAAAAAGCAACAATCAGCGCCCTGTGTCTAGCTAAAGGTTTGTAAATGCACCAATCAGCACTCTATAAAAACACACCAATCAGCACTCTATAAAATGGACCAATCAGCAGGACGTGGGTGGGGCCAAATAAGGGAATAAAAGCTGGCCCCCGGAGCCAGCAGCAGCAACCCGTTCGGGTCCCCTTCCTTGCTGTGGAAGTTTTGTTGTTTTGCTCTTTGCAATAAATCTTTCTGCTGCTCACTCTTTGGGTCCGCACTACCTTTATGAGCTGTAACACTCACCACGAAGGTCTGCAGCTTCACTCCTGAAGCCAGCAAGACCATGAACCCACCAGGAGGAACAAAAAGCTCCAGATGCACCACCTTTAAGAGTCGTAATACTCACTGTGAAAGTCTGCGGCTTCACTCCTGAAGTCAGCGAGACCACAAACCCACCATAAGGAAGGAACTCTGGACACATCTGAACATCTGAAGGAGCAAACTCTGGACACACCATCCTTAAGAAGTGTAACACTCACTGCGAGGGTTCTCTGCTTCCTTCTTGAAATCAGCAAGACCAAGAACCCACCAGAAGGAACCCATTCTGGATACAGTAGCACCTCTTTAAAAGATTGTTTAGTGAGTAAATGAAATAATCCATGTAAAGCATCTATGGCAGATAGGAGAATCTTCAACAAATATTAGCTGCAATTATTATCCATAAATGGAAGCTCTCAATCTAGGGAGGAAAAAGGCACACAGGTAGGCGTGCCTGCCTACCTGGGTTGTACTGTGTCAGGGACAGGGCATTCTGATCAAAGAACTTAGAAGAAGAAGACTTTGTGGAGAGAAGACATTTACAAACTCAAAAGTGATCACTTTGGCAAACAGACCAAAAAACTCACTTGGGCACTCCATTGTTCTTTGTTCAATGCCATGAATATAAGTGAATATGAGTTTGATTTTTTTAAAAAATAAATCTCAAGTCTTCTACCAAGACTTGAGGACTACAATGCATTTAACTATTCAATTGGATGTAGTCTGTCAACATATATACATAAACTATATTTTTCTAGAATTGTCAAGATAATAACATTATTGTCTGTTTCTAGTTACACCAATTATGCAGGTGTAGAGAGTCCTACTAGGGCTGCACTACTCCACCTAGCAGAGAGGTGAGAAAGGTTTTTCATTGCCTCATTGTGGTCTTATGGTGATTGAGTAGGCATCATTTGTAGAAAATGGCCATTACTCTGCTCACCCACTTTGTGGAGAGCAGTGTAAAGGAAGGGAGTGTAGCTACTTAGTCTGGATAGCATCAAGGAGTTCACTTGTTGCAACCAATTTAAAAGACTCATTGGATTGGCGTGTTTACAGAGTGATATACAGACATGGTAGGGAATCAGAAATAATTTGAATTCCTAATATATTGGTGGTTTATTTATGAGGCATAAATTTGCAGGAAGTTAATGGCCATAATTTATTGAGCACCTACTATGTTTTCAGAACTCAGAGTTTTCCATCCATTATTACATAGAATCCTCAGTGCAATCTTACAAGGAAAGTGTTATTATTATTTAGTCTCATTTTATAGATGAGGTAAAAGAAACTCAAAAGTTATGGATCTCTGAATGTGGTTTTTAAGTCAGAGATGTTGGCTTCAAAAACAGAACTGCAGTCAGGCTGGTGTTAATGAGTTTTATAGTATAATGTAACAGAGAGTCACAGAAACATCAAAGGACAGGAAGTGAGTGGTATATCTTGAGCAACTGGACATCAGGGGCTGTCTCACCTCATTGCTTCTCTCTTTTTCTCTTTCTCTTTCTGAATACACTCTGGCCCTGATTCTTCTATGTTTTAACTAGAGTCTCTCAATCACACAGTTGAGTCAGGGGTCCAACCTGGGTCTGATGTCTGGCTGTGAAGCAATCAGTGAAAACCAGAGGGTTGAGGTTATGCAGGTGTAGAAAGCCACATCATCTTCAAAGGTGTCACAAAGCTAGTAAATGGCAGAGGCAGAATCCCAAGTCACATCTGTCTGATGCCCATATTCTTTCCACTAAAAAAAAGGCGTGGGGCAGAACAGAGTTAGAGTAAGACAGTCAGCTATCCACCCCAAATAATAGCTCCACATTGCACAAGGCTTGAGGAAAAACACTGTAACTGGCAAGGAGCTCAGAAGTTATACTGTTCAAATTCCACATTTTATTGGCCAAATGACTTGGCAAAACAATGTGGTTAATATTTATTTAAACATATTTGGATAGGGAAAATATAGGACTGTTCTCACAGATGCATAGTCTAACATATTTCAGATATTGTGGGGTTGAAGCAGACTAAGGAGCAAAATGTCTAAGCTTCTAAGGCTGTATGTTTAATCTACCCAAATTCAACACCACAAATCAAGTATTCACTTCATTTCACTTTGAGATTGAAACCAAAGTTGGTGAGAGAGTTAAAGTTATCTCCTCTACCCTCAGATTAGAAAATATTTTTCCAACTTGGTCCTAATTCTCTCATAAAACACATATATATAGAATGTTGGAAATGCTTGTTCATATCTCTCCCTATGAAAGATTTTGGGAAATAATCTCAGAGAAGCCAAAAGACAAAGTTGTACACATATTCCTGGCAGCTTCCTCTGAGTACCAAACTCAAAAAATCTTAATGTTCAGCAAATGGTTTAGTGAAATATTGTAGATTGGTATAAGAAAGTGCTATGTCAATAATCATTTTAATGTGATGGAGAAACAAAAATATCATATAATAATTTAAAATAATAAAAAATGGCATGAATTCCACAATTTCAACAATAAAAGAATATATACAAATGAAGGGCACCATCTGATTTGGTTTGACTCTGTGACTCCACCCAAATCTCACCTTGAATTGTAATCCCGATGATCCCCATGAGTCAAGGGTGGGACCAGGTGGAGGTAATTGGATCATGGGGGTGGTTTCCCCCCATGCTGTTCTCATGATGAATGAGTCTTATGAGATCTGATGGTTTTATAAGCATCTGGCATTTCCACTGCTGCACTCACTCCGTCCTGCCACCCTTTTAGAAGGTGTCTGCTTCTCCTTTGATTTCCCCCATGACTGTAAGTTTCTGAGGCGTCACCAGCAATGCAGAACTGTGAGTCAATTAAACCTCTTTCCTTTATAAATTACACAGTCTCGGGTATTTCTTCATAGTGTCAGAAGAGATGAATACACCGTCTATAATTGAAAATAGTTTTTTAAGGATGAAGAATCTACAGTGATTTCACATAGAATCATATTATTTTCATTGATAATCACATTATATTACTAACAATGGCCAAAATGTATTGAGTGATTACTTTATTAAGTGCTTTACTTATATCTTTTAACTTAATTCTCTTTAGGAAAATAGTATCATAAGTCACACTTTGTAAAGAAACTGAGGATAAAAGAGGTTAAGCAAATTACTGAGAGACAATTCTAAGAGGTTTTCCCCAGAGTTCAAGTTCCTAACTAAGGAATAATAATATGATAATAACAATAGCTAACAATTAAGTGGCATTTAATATATGCCAGGCAGTGTTCTAAGTGCTTTATGTTTACTAACTCATTTAATCCTCAGATCAATCCTATGATGTAGGTAGTAATATGATTCCTTTTCGCGGGTAAGAAAACCATAGCCCAGAACCAGGGACCCCAGCCGGGGTGCGGCTGAATCAGAATAAGAACTCAGACTGTCTGCCTCCAAAGTCTGTACTTTCATCTGCTCACTGCTCTAGTTCCAGGACTTAGCAGAAATAGCAAGGGAGGAATGAAGAAATACATTTTAAAGAAAAAAATCAAAGAACTTGTGATAACTCCAAAACAACTCCAAAAATTCCTGCCTGAAGGAGTAGGAGGAAAGTAGCTTTATTGACTAACAAAGAAAGTTAATTTGAACATGTTAAATTTTAGGTAACTTTGAAATATGCTGAGTGAAAATTCCAGCTGGGTACTGGGAAGCAAGGGGATGTTGTATGCAACATAAAATGACCCAATATATGGATTTGAGACCAATAATGTGAGAGGTGATAATTTCTAACTCTCAATATGAATTAATTTTTTGAGAGATATTTAGACGGAAGAACGGTCTTTGAGAAAGTTGATAGAAAAAAGTGAAGAGATGGACAACAATCTGAAAATTATATACGGCAGACTCATGAAAAGAAGATAACTCTGCCGCAGGAAGTCAAGAGGAAGGAAGCTGAAGGAAGCCTTGGAATTGGTTCCCAGAGGTCCTTCATGACTGTGGAGGGAGGGTGGGCCTGCAGCCAAAGGCTGAGGAATCAGAAAGGGTCAGAAAGGGGAGCACGTTATTCTTTAGGAAGTTTGTCATCCAAGGGAAGGAAACAGTAGAGCAACTGGAGGGAAAATTAGATTAAGTGGGAGTTTCTTTCACAGCAGTTAGTTGTCTGTGCAAGAACAACGGCAGTCTGGAAAGATTATTTACCCTATTGTCTCCCACAGTTTATTTATTTACCTATTGTTTCACAAGATCATGGCAGTCTGGAAAGATTATTTACCCTATTGTCTCCCACAGTTTATTTATTTACCTATTGTTTCACAAGATCATGGCAGTCTGGAAAGATTATTTACCCTATTGTCTCCCACAGTTTATTTATTTACCTATTGTTTCACAAGATCATGGCAGTCTGGAAAGATCTGGGGGCCCTGGTTCTGAGCTATGGTTTCGTTACCTGTGAAAAGGAATCAGAGTAGTACCTACATCATAGGATTGATCTGAGGATTAAATGAGTTAGTAAATATAAAGCACTTGGAACAGTGCCTGGCATATATTAAGTGCCACTTAATTGTTAGCTATTTTTATTACCATCATTATTATTCCTTAGTTAGGAACTTGAACTCTGGGGAAAACCTCTTAGAATTGTTTCTCAGTCAGGAAAGATCAGGGGTGTCTGAAGATGCTGGAGAAAGAAGAACCTCTTGAAGGACCAGAAGGAGGAGTTTCATTTTCTAAAAGGGAGATGTCGTATATGTGGCCATTGGAGGTAAGCAAGGATGAGTGTAGGTTGGAATTGAAGTAAACGAAAATGCAACGTTGTTTATTTACCTATTGTCTCACACAGTTTACCCTTTTATAATTTGTTCTATGCTGCCAGTGCTGTGACTTTTCAAATTTGATTTCCCAGTCTCCCTTGACATCTGGCTTTTCTAATGGTTCTGCCAATGAGAGGTGCTGGAGAAATTTGAAAGCAGTGGAGGGGAGAAGGGACTTTCTTTCCAATTCCCACTAGTGTCACTCCATGTCACACGGTTGGATCAGCTGTTTTAGGCCCTCTTGGCACCAGCCTTGCCTTACTCTCACAGGGACCAGCCACAGCTGGGCCACACTCTCTTGGAAGTGTAAGTATGAGCTTTGCCTTCTGAGCAGCCACTGGGCTATACCCTTTCCTCTGAGGTTTTAGTTCTGGTAACTGTACCACCTCTTTTTAGTCCTCTCTCAGGAGCTTAATGTTCTTAATGTTTTGGGTGACCTCAATTTGCCCTTTGTAATTTTTTCACCCTCCAACACATCAATAATCAACTTTCTGTATTAAATCACCTTTGTTTGAAAGAATTTTCTCTTTCCTAACTGGACACGTTGATATAGTTCTTGGCCCAGCAGTGGTTCCAGAAGCAGACCCTCAAGTAAACATGTGTTTACACAGATTTAGTTTCTATCTTTTTTCTTATTCTTTCTTTTTCTGTGATTTTTTTTTCCATATCTGAGTTGATGTCTTTGTAATGATTATAATTTGCTAATATAGAAAGCACTGGAGTGAGTTAGTTTAAGGGATGTGAAAAGAAAGGAAAAGATCCAGAATAGTCAACCAAGGGGAAGCCAGTGGAGCTAACTAATGGGCCCCAGTTGCTCTCTTCTGTTATAGACTTGACATAGCTCTGCTCTGCAATTTTCTACACACCCTGCATTGGCTTTCAAGTAGAAGTTTTCCAGAGCACTTCCAAGGTGTTTGAAACGTAATACCTTTAGAATTCTTATAAAGTATAGTCACGGAAAATGTTATCCCCAGCCATATATACTTATTTGTACAATGCTATGAAATTTGTTCTATGATTTCTATTCATTTTGTATTTTGTGAATTTTGGAATGTAAGCAACTCTTTTTTTTTACACTAATATAGTCTTAATTTTAATTTTTGTGGCTACCCAGTAGGTGTATATACTTATGGGGTACATGAGATATTTTGTTATAGGTATGCAATGCATAAAAATCACATTGTGGAAAAGTGGGTATCCATCTCCGTAACTATTTATCCTCTGTGTACAATCTAATTATACTCTTTTAGTTATTTTAAAGTGCATAATTATTACTGATTATAGTCCCCCTGCTGTGCTGTCAAATACCAGGTCTTATTTATTCTAACTTTTTTTTTTTACTCATTAACCATCTGCACCTTCCTCCATCCCTCTCACTACCCTTGCTGGCTTCTGGTAACCATCCCTCTATTCTGTCTCTCCACAAGTTCAATTGTTTTGATTTTCAGATCCCACAAATAAGTGAGAACATGTGATGTTTGTCTTTCTCTACCTGGTTTATTTCATTTAACATAATGACCTCCAGTTCCATCCATGTTGCTGCAAGTGACAGGATCTCATTCTTTTTCATGGAAGAATAGTACTCCATTGTGTATAAGTAGCACATTTTCTTTATCCATTCATCTGTTTATAGATACTTGGGTTTCTTCCAAATTTTCGCTGTTGTGAACAGTGCTGCAATAAACATGGGAATGCAGATATCTCTTTAGTACCCTGATTTTCTTCTTTGGGGTATATACCCAGAAGTGGTATTGCAGGATAACATGATACCTCCATTTTTAGCTTTTTGAGGAACCTCCAAAATGTTCTCCATAGTGGTTGTACTGGTTTCCATTCCTACCAACAGTGTATGAGGTTTCCCTTTTCTCTACATCCTCACCAGCATTTGTTATTGCCTGACTTTTGGATAAAAGACATTTTAGGCTGGGTGCAGTGCTCACACCTGTAATCCCAGCACTTTGGGAAGCCAAGGCAGGCAGACCATGAGGTCAGGAGATTGAGACCATCCTGGCCAACATGGTGAAACCCCATCTCTACTAACATACAAAAAATTAGCTGGGCATGGTGGTGCATGCCTGTAGTCCCAGCTACTTGGGAGGCTGAGGTTGGGGAATCACTTGAACCCAAGAGGTGGAGGTTTCAGTGAGCTGAGACCGTGCCACTGCATTCTGGCCTGGCAACAGAGCAAGACTCCGTCTCAGGAAAAAACAAGCCAATTTAATGGGGCTAGGATGATATATCATCGTAGTTTTGATTTGGATTTCTCTGATGATCAATGATCATCATCATATGCATGCTTGCCATTTGTTTGTCTTTTTATGAGAAATGTCTATTCAAATATTTTGCCCATTTTAAAGTTGAATTATTAGATTTTGTTCCTTATAGAGTTGTTTGAGCTCCTTATATATTCTAGTTATTAATTCTTTGTCAAATGGGTTTTTTTCAAATATTTTCTTCCATTCTGTGAGTTGTCTCTTCACTTTGTTCATTGTTTCCTTTGCTATGCTGAAGTGTTTTTTAACATGATGTGATCCCATTTGTCCATTTTTGATTTGTTTGCCTGTGCTTGTGAGGTATTGTTCAAGAAATTTTTGCCCAGACCAACGTCTTGGAGGGCTTCCCCAACGTTTTCTTGTAGTAGTTTCATAATTTGAAGCTTAGATTTTAAGCCTTTAATTCATTTTGATTTGATTTTTGTATACAGTGAGAGATAGGGGTCAAGTTTCATTCTTCTGCTTATGAATATTCAATTCTCCCAGCACCATTTATTGAAAAGACTTTTTTTTTTCCAGTGTATGTTCTTGGTGCCTTTGTTGAAAACGAGTTTACTGTAGGTATGAAGATTTGTTTCTGGGTTCTCTATGCTGTTTTATTGGTCTATGTGTCTGTTTTTATGGTAGTATCATGCTGTTTTGGTTACTATAGCTTTGTAGTATATTTTGAAATCAGATCATGCGATTCTTACAGCTTTATTCTTTTTTCTCAGGACAGTTTTGGCCATTCTGAATCTTTTGTGATTCTATTTAATTTTAGGATTGTTTTTTCTATTTCTGTGAAGGATGTCATTGGTATATTGATAGGGATTGCATTGATTCTGTAGATTGCTTTGTGTAGCATGGACATTTTAATAATGTTGATTC